AATATATTATATATATTATATAGTAGAAAAAAAGTAGAATATAAGTAGAATATTATATAGGGAGTTTATGATGGGACATTCAAATGTCCCATCATAAACTCACTCTTATATATAAGTAGATAGTAGAATAGAAAGAATATATATATTATATTATATTATATTATATATTATATAAACTCCCTTAGAAAATAAATATATATTATATATATTATATAGTAGAAAAAAAGTAGAATATAAGTAGAATATTATATAGGGAGTTTATGATGGGACATTCAAATGTCCCATCATAAACTCACTCTTATATATAAGTAGATAGTAGAATAGAAAGAATATATATATTATATTATATTATATTATATATTATATAAACTCCCTTAGAAAATAAATATATATTATATATATTATATAGTAGAAAAAAAGTAGAATATAAGTAGAATATTATATAGGGAGTTTATGATGGGACATTCAAATGTCCCATCATAAACTCACTCTTATATATAAGTAGATAGTAGAATAGAAAGAATATATATATTATATTATATTATATTATATATTATATAAACTCCCTTAGAAAATAAATATATATTATATAGTAGAAAAAAAGTAGAATATAAGTAGAATATTATATAGGGAGTTTATGATGGGACATTCAAATGTCCCATCATAAACTCACTCTTATATATAAGTAGATAGTAGAATAGAAAGAATATATATATTATATTATATTATATTATATATTATATAAACTCCCTTAGAAAATAAATATATATTATATAGTAGAAAAAAAGTAGAATATAAGTAGAATATTATATAGGGAGTTTATGATGGGACATTCAAATGTCCCATCATAAACTCACTCTTATATATAAGTAGATAGTAGAATAGAAAGAATATATATATTATATTATATTATATTATATATTATATAAACTCCCTTAGAAAATAAATATATATTATATAGTAGAAAAAAAGTAGAATATAAGTAGAATATTATATAGGGAGTTTATGATGGGACATTCAAATGTCCCATCATAAACTCACTCTTATATATAAGTAGAAAGTAGAATATGATAAGATAATGATACCAAATAGTTAATAAAAACAATGATTTAAATCCATATATATATAAGTGTATGGATCTAACTTATACTATATATAATGATAATATAAAGAATTTTTACAAGAGTAATGATTATTTTGGTTTCTAAAAGATATAAGAGAATTGCTTTCAAGTCTATTTAATTTAATCAATTTATAATTTTCTTGTACTGTGACATAGAAATATATTAAATTTTCTTTTCTTAATATTAAGTTACAACTAATTTTAATCCTTAGCAAAAGTATCCTTATAATCTCCAAAAAAAAACATTACTATATGTATCACAAAGTTACAATTAATATTTAAAAAGTGAGTTAGTTCATTACTTTCTTATATAATCATGAAATTGCAAATGTAATAAAATTTCTTTTCAAATTTTTGAGTCTTGGTCAAATGACTGTAGAATTTTATTTGATATTGTAGTTTTTTGAATTAAATTACTTAAAGTTTATTATCTACCAAGAAGATTTTTTTAAACAAGAATCAAGGTATTGTATTACAACAAATGGATAACATTTTATTAACTTGAAAGAAATTTTAGATTATATAATGAGATATTGACTCTTCGCATACAAACCTATAAATTATTAACACGTACAAATGACTAGTTATATAATAAAAATAAAGTTTTGGGAGGTTTTTGACGCTTAAAACATGTGTTTTAGTAGTCTTATGCTTGAACAGGTTACCCAACTTTTGTTTGTAAAATATCAGAAATCATTAAACTTGTTTCAATTTTATTGTTTTAAGTACATAAATAACACCATCTAAGTAAGATTTTGGTAAATTTATCTCAAACGCGCTACCAATAATGTAAACTCT